CGATGGCACATACCTGGCCCCACCCAGACTCTCAGACCTCCTGGGTCCTGACAGATCTGTGTGTGAACAAGCTCAAAAGCTTCCTTGGCTACCCTCCCAAACCCGGGAAAACCAAGTACCTTTGCACCTTTGCATGCCCTGCACCCTTGGGACCTCCCACATTTCCGGAGCTTGTACCCTTTTGTGCACCTGTGCAACTTTTGCACATCTTTGGGAACCTTAGCACACTGCACCTGTGCTTCTTCCAGCATTCCCACCACCCTCCAGAGGTGATTCCAGAACAAAGAAATTGTTCTTGCTCTTCGCCATGTTGACCCGTTGTCGCCCCCCTCTGAAAATGGAACAGGTGTCATTTTTGAACCCCTGCTTCGTTAGAGCAGATACAGATAACCGACAACTATTCAGTCCCGGCACAACGTAGACCTCTTGCTCCTCCTGTGAAGGAGAGAAAAAACACGTTAGCCACAGCAGAAACCGACTTTTCATTCCGTCTGCTAAACATAACAGTCAGTCCTGTTAAAACAGCCCTGCAGTTCCGCAGTTTGCCTATCAGGTGTTGCCTGACAGCAGAAACCAAAACACCCAGCGTGTCATCGTGTCCTGGCTGGTGTTGTTCTTCACAGTTGCCATAGAAGCAGTGATAAGAAACAACCCTCCCCAGTGTCTGAGACACGTCTTTCCCTTGCGTTCCCACGCTGGCGTCCTCTCCCAGACTGACTCCCGTGGGAACTCAGCTGATTGACCTTGGGACCTTCCTGCCCAGCTGTCTCCGCTCTCCATGGGCAGCAGCGTCGCAAGCGTCCCGCATTACACGTGTAGCAATGACGAACTCCAGTGGAAAAACACTGCTCCGGGGCTCCTCCCAGCTGGCCTCCTTCTCCTTCTTCCGGAAAAGCACTCCTTGCCAGCTCCGCCCCCTCTGAACCTCCACTTCATTCCAGCACGTACAGTGGAAAACTTTAAACGTGCCTTTGGAAACCTTCCGCCCCCCTGACCTGCTCAGCAGCACTCCTTGTGGCTAAAGCATCAGGGACAGGGGCTCCAGCCATCTCTAGGCTTTTGTATTCCTTCTCCAGGGCTCTGGCTTCCTGCTGAAGCTTCACAGCAAACACAGCACGATTCCAAGCAGCCCTTAGTCCCTTTGCCCCCCTCTGGGGCCCACAGCCCTTCCCAGCTGTGCACCGGCTCTCACGAAGGTGGTCAGCGCCATCTTGCCTTTCTGTTCTGAAGCAGCCATCTCCCAGCCCTTGCTGTCGCCTCCAGCCTCATAAACACCCTGGAGCGCTGAACGGCCTCTGGCTTCCTGGCACCCAGAACAGTAGACTTCAGATCAGCAGCCAGGTTGCCCAACTTCTTAAAGTGAGCATGGAATGTCCTCCAAGACCTGGCAGCCTGCCATCCTCTTCCGTTCTCCCAAGGGGCCCCAAGCTGTACTCACCAGCTTTATCCGGCTCCCGTCCGTGGAGACACGATTCCTTGCTGCCCTCAGCTCTCAAATCCAGAGCTCCAGCTGGTCCCAGCACTCAGCAACACAGGCAGCCACTTTGTGTCTTTCAGCCAGCCGCTTTTAGCTCCGCAGCTCTCCTTGCCTCTTAACACCAGGCAAAAAGTCCTGCCGACTTCAAACGCATTCCGGCAGCCTCTTGTGACAGTTTTACAAGCGGTGATTAGTACCCATAACCTGTGATGATTTACGATATTGGCGCGACTCCCGCTAATTGATTTATGGCCCTCAATTAGCTATTTATGGCAGCCCGGCACACTTCCCTGCGAGACTCTGCTCCGTCTCCAGCAGCTCTTCAGTCAGCTCCAGTCACGCCAGTAGCAGAGATAGACACAGCGGTGATGAAACTGTCACGTCCTTTGCCTTAGCTTCCAGACAAACACACACAGAGTCCAGGTTTGTCCTTTTCAGCTCTTTATTCCGACATTCCCCCAGGGATTCCCCCTGGGCTCCTTGCAGTCATTACCGGCTACGTCTTTCTCCCTCACCGACCAGAGGGGAACAGAACAGAAACCACACCCAGGCTCCTCCCAGCTTCCACAGCTGACGTCAGAATGTTGAGGCATCCTGGGAACTTCTTAACCAGTTAAGTTCCAAACTCAACAATCAGCACCACACTCTAACCAACTGAGCTATCCAGTGACCACATGGTATTGTGTTGTTTAGTCGTTTAGTTGTGTCCGCCTCTTTGTGACCCCATGGACCAGAGCACACCAGGCACTCCTGTCTTCCTCCCCCAGTTTGGTCAAACTCATGCTGGTAGCTTCGAGAACACTGTCCAACCATCTCGTCCTCTGTCATCCCCTTCTCCTTGTGCCCTCCATCTTTCCCAACATCAGGGTCTTTTCCAGGGAGTCTTCTCTTCTCATGAGGTGGCCAAAGTCTTGGAGCCTCAGCTTCAGGATCTGTCCTTCCAGTGAGCACTCAGGGCTGATTTCCTTCAGAATGGAGAGTTTGATCTTCTTGCAGTCCATGGGACTCTCCAGAGTCTCCTCCAGCACCAGAATTCAAAAGCATCCATTCTTCGGCGATCAGCCTTCTTTATGTTCCAGCTCTTACTTCCATACATCACTACTGGGAAAACCATAGCTTTAACTATACGGACCTTTGTTGGCAAGGTGATGTCTATCACTGCCTTGCTGTGGCGAAGGGGCTTGAATAACTCAGAGAAGCTATGAGCTATGCCAAGCAGGGCACCCAAGATGGACAGGTCATAGTAGAGAGTTTTGACCAAACATGATCCACCTAGAGCAGGAACCGGCAAGCTACTCCAGTATCCCTGCCAAGAAAACTCCATGGACAAAGACAACAGGACTCTCCCTACTGGTGGTTAACCCTTCCCAGACTTCAAGTGGACGGGCTGAGGTTGGATATAGTCTAATGCCTAAGCCAATATCGCTCATCACCTGTAACCAATAAAGTTGTGGCCTTATTTAGCCCATTAACCTCTGCTTTTTAAGATGCTGTCTAGGTTTGTCATTGCTTTTCTCCCAAGAAGCAGGCAGCTTAATCACAGCTAAAGAAGCCATCCAACCTCAGCTTGGAAAAAAACCTTCAATGAAAGAAACTCCACCACCTTCTGAGGGAGTTCATTCCACAGCTCTTTCTGTCAGAAAGTTCTTCCTGAGGTTTAGTCGGAATCTCCTTTCTTGGAATTTGAATCCATTGGTTTGGGTCCTCCCCTCCAGACCACGAGAAAGCAAGCTTGCTCCATCTTCGATGTGACAGCCCTTCAGATATTTGAAGGCGGTTATCAGATGACACCAAACTGGGAGGGGTGGCTAACACTCCAGGGGACAGGATCACACTTCAAAACGACCTTGACAGATTAGAGAACTGGGCCAAAACAAACAAGATGAACTTTAACAGGGAGAAATGTAAAGTATTGCACTTGGGCAAAAAAAATGAGAGGCACAAATACAAGATGGGGGACACCTGGCTTGAGAGCAGTACATGTGAAAAGGATCTAGGAGTCTTAGTTGACCACAAACTTGACATGAGCCAACAGTGTGACGCGGCAGCTAAAAAAGCCAATGCAATTCTGGGCTGCATCAATAGGAGTATAGCATCTAGATCAAGGGAAGTAATAGTGCCACTGTATTCTGCTCTGGTCAGACCTCACCTGGAGTACTGTGTCCAGTTCTGGGCACCACAGTTCAAGAAGGACACTGACAAACTGGAACGTGTCCAGAGGAGGGCAACCAAAATGGTCAAAGGCCTGGAAACGATGCCTTATGAGGAACGGCTAAGGGAGCTGGGCATGTTTAGCCTGGAGAAGAGGAGGTTAAGGGGTGATATGATAGCCATGTTCAAATATATAAAAGGATGTCACATAGAGGAGGGAGAAAGGTTGTTTTCTGCTGCTCCAGAGAAGCGGACACGGAGCAATGGATCCAAACTACAAGAAAGAAGATTCCACCTAAACATTAGGAAGAACTTCCTGACAGTAAGAGCTGTTCAACAGTGGAATTTGCTGCCAAGGAGTGTGGTGGAGTCTCCTACTTTGGAGGTCTTTAAGCAGAGGCTTGACAACCATATGTCAGGAGTGCTCTGATGGTGTTTCCTGCTTGGCAGGGGGTTGGACTAGATGGCCCTTGTGGTCTATTCCAACTCTATGATTCTATGATTCTATCATATCTCCTCTCAGCCTCCTCTTTTCCAGGATAAACATGCCCAGCTCCTTCAACCGTTCCTCATCAGGCTTGGTTTCCAGACCCTTCATCATCTTCATCTCCCTCCTCTGCACACCTTCCGGCTTGTCAACATCCTTCTTAAATTGTACTGGCAGGAATTGGACACAGTATTCCAGGTGTGGTCTGTCCAAGGCAGAAGAGAGCAGTATAGTAGTACCTTGGTTCTCGATTTTAATCCATTCCAGGAGTCCATTTGACTCCCAAAACTATTCAAAAACCAAGGCACGGCTTCTGATTGGCTGCAGGAGCTCCCTGCACTCAAGCCGAAGCGGCGTCGGACGTTCGGCTTCCAAAAAACGTTTGCAAACCAGAACACTTACTTCAGGGTTTGTGGCGTTCGGGAGCCAATTTGCTCGACAACTAAGCCATTCGAGAACCAAGGTACCACAGTATTATGGCATCCCTTGATGTGGGTTCTAGACTGCTGTCGATGCAGCCTAGAATCGCATTCGCCTTTTTTGCTGCTGCATCACACGGTGGACTCGTGTTGAGCTTGTGGTCCACTAAGACCCCTAGATCCTTTTCACGTGTATTGCTGCCAATCCAGATATCCCCCATCGTGTATTTCTGCTCCTGGTTATCCCTGCCCAAGTGCAGAACCTAACGTTTAGTCCTGTTGCAATACAGTCGTCTTTTGAAAATTGCACCACTCTGGTGGTTTTGTAGCCATTTCCCCAACCTAAATGATCTGGACACTGTATTGCGGGCATGGGGGGTCTCTTGTGCCCTGCTGTTTCTCACTGTTGCTTGCAGCAATAGACATGTCAGTGATATTGACCTCGCTTTGCTCTGTCTCCTTGCAGGAGGATGTGGACGACGTCCTGACAAAGGAAGAGCAGATCTTCCTGCTGCTCAAAGCCAAGGCCAAGTGTGAGCGCCATCTAAAGGCCAAAGGACCCAAACTGCAAGGTGAGTCAGCCTCTCTCCTCCGGACTGTGGGATGTGATACATAAGTAGCAGTCGAGTACAACATTCCTTGTTTTCCTGGAGTGGACATGCAGGAGAATGTTTGTTCCAGTCACTCGAAAACTTCCTGTTTCCTCCTGGCTTGGAGCATCCTTCCTTTAGCATGTGACTAGAGGTGGGAGTGGCCTTACCTGCCCAGGTAACAAAAGGGCAAGGCACACAGCACACTTCCTTCTTTTCAACTCTCTTTGACTTCCTCCGTTGTTGGACCAGCAGCTTTTTAGCTTTCAGCCAACAGAGGACAAAGGGACCATCCCCATAGGCAGGGGCAACCTAAGGCCCAGGGGCTGGATGCGGCCCAATCATAGAATCATAGAGTTGGAATAGACCACAAGGGCCATCGAGTCCAACCCCCTGCCAAGCAGGAAACACCATCAGAGCACTCCTGACATATGGTTGTCAAGCCTCTGCTTAAAGACCTCCGAAGAAGGAGACTCCACCACACTCCTTGGCAGCAAATTCCACTGTCGAACAGCTCTTGCTGTCAGGAAGTTCTTCCTAATGTTTAGGTGGAATCTTCTTTCTTGTAGTTTGGATCCATTGCTCCGTGTCCGCTTCTCTGGAGCAGCAGAAAACAACCTTTCTCCCTCCTCTATGTGACATCCTTTTATATATTTGAACATGGCTATCATATCACCCCTTAACCTCCTCTTCTCCAGGCTAAACATGCCCAGCTCCCTTAGCCATTCCTCATAAGGTATCGTTTCCAGGCCTTTGATCATTTTGGTTGCCCTCCTCCTCGCCTTCTAAATCCGGCCCGGATTTATTTAATGTGTCCTTTTATTTAAAATGCATCTCTGGGTTATTTGTGGGGCCTGCCTGGTGTTTTTACATGAGTAGAATGTGTCCTTTTATTTAGCATGCATCTCTGGGTTGTTTGTGGGGCATAGGAATTTGTTCATTTTTTTTTTCAAAATATAGTGTGTCCCCCCCCCCACACACACACAAGGTCTGAGGGATAGTGGACCTGCACACGGCTGGAAAAGGTTGTTGACCCCTGCCATATGGGGTAGACCCACATGTATATACTTTGCAACTAAGACTGCCTTAGGGGATCCAACTGTGAACTGATGATGTGAGGAAACTTATTTTATGTACTTTACACAAGATTGTAGTGTGTTTATTCTTTTAAGAGGGATATAAGGGGACTTACCAGGAATCTAATAGTAAGAGGCTTAAACAAGCCTGCAACCAGCTATCTGCTATATGTTTAAAAGGGGAATGTAAAACTCTGCTAAGTAAAGGAAATTGCTAGCGCGGGTTAAAGGTAAAGAGACCCCTGGCCATTAGGTCCAGTCGCATATGACTCTGGGGTTGCGGCGATCATCTCATTTTATTGGCCGAGGGAGCAGGCGTACAGCTTCTGGGTCATGTGGCCAGCATGACTAAGCTGCTTCTGGCGAACCAGAGCAGTGCACAGAAACGCCATTTACTTTCCCGCCGGAGTGGTACCTATTTATCTACTTGCACTCTGACATGCTTTCGAACTGCTTGATTGGTAGGAGCAGGGACCAAGCAACGGGAGCTCACCCCGTTGTGGGGATTCGAACCGCCGACCTTCTGATCGGCAAGCCCGAAAGCTCGTCAAAGTGCAAGTAGAAAAATAGGTACCGCTCCGGCGGGAAGGTAAACGGCGTTTCTGTGCGCTGCTCTGGTTCGCCAGAAGTGGGTTAGTCATGCTGGCCACATGAACCGGAAGCTGTACGCCGGCTCCCTTGGCCAGGAAAGCGAGATGAGCGCCGCAACCCCAGAGTCGGCCATGACTGGACCTAATGGTCAGGGGTCCATTTACCTTTACCTATATACACATATAATGTCCTGAATCATTCATGAGTGGTTCAGCTTGCCAAGTTTTTGCCTTTCAAAAAGAAATCAGCTTGCACGTCTAATAGCAGCCTCATCTGCAGAAGTTATCCAGGATAAAGCTTGACCGCCAAGGACCTGGAAATTATCTACATGGTTCTGCCCCTGTCTCCTCATTTAAATCCCAATCTAGGCCGAGAGGGACTCCTTGGCCCAAGGTCACCCAGAACACCTCGTATAGCCGAGTGGGGATTTGAATCCAGATCCCTAGTCCAATGCCATAACCACTAAACCATGCTGCCTCTCAGTCACTGCAGATGAAGATGCTGTTAATGACAGAATAGCAGACTTGGCCGTTTCCCCCAGTCAGTTGGCAACCAAATGCTGCTTTCCGCTTCCCCAAGAGTCATCAATCTGATGTATTTAGGGGTCCAAATTGCTTGTGTCTGGCCCCGTCTGTCAAAATTACCAGGACCCCACTCCCACCACAGGGCTGGTTCAGTCTCGCGCATATATTTTCTATTTCGAGTTTCGTTTAATGGGTGCCAGATGCAGGGAGCCAGAGAGAGAGAGTGAGTGTGTGTGTCAGTTTGCAGAGGGTGTGTGTGCGTGTGTCTGTGTTTGTGACAAACTCTCAGTCCCTTGTCAATACTGCAGCTGTTCTTCATTGAAACCATGGAGAGCCCTGTTTGCCACCCAGAAAGCAGTTTTCCCTTTACAGTCCTAGCTGTGAGTCGCTCTGGGACGAGGCTGAGTCCCATGGTTATGAAAACATCCCTTTCCAAAAACAAAAGTTCTTGTGTGTGTGTGTGTGTGTGTGTGTGTGTGTCCAGAAAACACGCTGCACAGCCTTTTCTGCTTATTTCAGGATTCCTGCTCCATATGGGCAGAATCCCACCCACTTTAACCGCATCCTGGTGGATCTTCATTACATCAGCCAATTAGCACCTCATTGAGACTCCCTCCCACCTCTGGTGCTTTTTTCTGTACTTTTGACCTCGGAGTAGACCTGCAGTAAGACACAGCAGTGCCCATGTTGGGGGGGGGGGCTCTAAAACCCACATTTGCAGAATCATATTGCTAGAAGGTACCACAAAGGACTTCTAGTCTAACCCCACTGCAATGCAGAAATCTTTTTGCCCAACATGGGGGACTCGAAAGCATGAGCCTAAGAGTAAGAGCCTTCCCTGAAGCAGGTAGGTAGCCGTGTTGGTCTGCCGTAGTTGAAACAAAATTTAAAAATTCCTTCCAGTAGCACCTTAGAGACCAACTAAGTTTGTTATTGGCATGAGCTTTTGTGTGCATGCACACTTCTTGCACATGAAAACTCACACCAATAACAAACTTAGTTGGGTAGCGGTGTGGGTTAAACCACAGAGCCTAGGACTTGCCGATCAGTAGGTTGGTGGTTCGAATCCCTGCGACGGGGTGAGCTCCTGTTGCTCGGTCCCTGCTCCTGCCAACCTAGCAGTTCGAAAGCACATCAAAGTGCAAGTAAATAAATAGGTACCACTCCGGCGGGAAGGTCAACGGCGTTTCCGTGCGCTGCTCTGGTTCGCCAGAAGCGGCTCAGTCATGCTGGCCACATGACCCGGAAGCTGTACGCCGGCTCCCTTGGCCAATAAAGTGAGATGAGCGCCGCAACCCCAGAGTTGTCCGCGGCTGGACCTAACGGTCAGGAGTCCCTTTACCTTTACCTTTAAGGTGCTACTGGAAGGAATTTTTTTATTTTGTTTCCCTGAAGCAGCTGCTGAGAGCTAGGAATCCTAGATCAGCAGAGAGACAGAGGCAAAGGTGACGAGGGGACAAATGTGAACACCTTGATTTCCGGACAGCTCTGTCGTTCAGAGCAGCAGAGCTTGCTAAATCTGCTTGCAGAACCTTAGATCTGAGCTGTCCACTCTCTCTAGAGAGGTATTTTTATATGCAACGGCTGCAGCCTGGACTTTGGTGGCAAATGGGTGGAAGGAAGAAGAAGCCCCGACAATAACGGACTGCCATAATAAACTACAAGAATTTGCTGAAATGGCGCAGTTGACAAATAACCTGAGAGGCAATTCAAAACAAAAAATTATGGAAAAATAGGATAGATATGAGATATATGTTCAAAAATATAGTAAAGGTTCGCTATCTATGCTAGCATTCGATTGACATTGGAGAGAAATTGAGTTGAGAAACAAGATTAAGGGTACATATTGATATTGGAATGTATTAGATAAAATGTAAAGAAATATACAATAATAAGAGTACATTCATTTATTTTTTAAAAAAGAATATACAATGAAATTGCTGGGAAGTCCGTATAGTGTTGTTACAAATACTATTTTGAAATGGCTTTATGTCTTTGTTTTTTGTTCTTTCTTTCTTTAGGTACATAAATTTGGTATATAAACTTTGAACACATGTTGGAAATTATATTATAATATGCCCTGTAATGTAATATGATAATGTATACATGTGTGATATAAGAACACTAATAATAGTAATAATAATAATAATAATAATAATAATAATAATAATAATAATAATAATAATAATAAAGATCTCAGCTGTCCAACAGATCTGATTTTGTAAAAGGGTTCCAATGGATTTGCTGCACACTTGGAACAGGGATTGGAGGAAGAGAAGAGAGAGAGGGAAGGGATTTCCCACTTAAGGGCCACAATGAAGGTGAAAATTGCCTGGAAGGAAAGCCAAGCTAGGAGAGGGGCTTTGAACAAAGTGAGAGCGGGAGAGTGTTTTGTAGAAACCGGATGTTCTTTCCTACCGCGCTCCCAAGCTTATAAGAGCTGTCAGGTCCGCTTAGGCCCGGGGTCTGTGTCCTGTTAGTTTTAATGAGCGAGATGAAGTCATACATAATTAAGAGAATGTACAGACACTTGGCCAAAACGTTCAGAAGTGGCTTTGGAGTGTTCCATAGACCATTTTTTCATTTTTTTAGCTTTAAGATGCAATCTGATTTATTAACGCGGACAAGGTGGCTCTGGAAATGGGTAGCAAAAGCAATTGTGCAAGACCTTTCAGCCAAGAGGGAAAGCTTTCTGACAGTGAGATTTGTTTGAGAGGGGAAAGGACTCCCTGAGGAGGTTCTCGACTCTCCATCCTTGGGGATTTTTAAGCAGATGTTGGATGATTTAGCT